TCTAATGTTCTATTCACCTCCTTAACTTCTTTCTTGTTTATTTTGTGGTTAGACTTAATCTATGAGAGGGGGAGGTTCAGGTCCCCCACTAGTATACTTTTTGCTGTCTATTTCTTCCTGTAACTCCCTGAACTTCTCCTGTAAGAATCTGGATGCTATACCATTTGGTGCATATGTTCTTAGTAATGATATTACTTCATTTTCTATGGTGCCTTTTAGCAGGATGTAGTTTCCTTCCTTATCTCTTTTGATTAGATCTATTTTTGCTTTTGCTTTGTCTGAGATCAGGATTGCTACCCCTGCTTTTTTACTTCAGCTGACGCATAATATATTCTGCTCCAGCCTTTTACCTTTACCCTGTATGTGTCACTCTTTTTCAAATGTGTTTCCTGTAAACAACATATTGTAGGATTATGGTTTTTAATCCATTCTGCAATCCTTTCGTTTTATGGGAGAGTTCATCCCATTCACATTCACAGTTATGATTACTATCTGTGTCTTTTTCTCCATCCTTTCCCCCATTTATGCTTTTCTTTCTCCTTTTTCCTTTCCCCTTCACTAGTGTTTTGCTTTTGACCACGCCTCCTTCAGTCCCCCCCTTTTATTATCCCTTTCCCTTTTCTTCCCCTTTATCTTACTGCTGCTTCCCTCCCTTCTTTCCCTCCCTTTTCTTTCCCCCTCCCTTTTCTTTCCCCTTTTCCCTCCTACTGCCTATAGGGCAAGTTAGATTTCTATACCTAACTGATTATATTATGCCCTTCTTGAGCCAAATCTGATGAGAGTAAGGTTCAAACAATGCTCCCCCCTTTCCCTCTGCTGTAATAGGATTTTGTGTCTTTTCCTGTAATGTAATTTACCCTTGTCTGCCTCCTCCTTTCTCAGTACTTTTCTAAGATAGATTGATCCACTTATTTGGATCCATTTAACTTGATTAGATTTTTTTTATCATTACATCAAAGTCAACTAATATCCACCCTCTTTATGTATACTCCTTTAACAAGGTGTAATAACAATACAGTTCTCAAGGGTTGCAAGTCTCATATTCCCTTGTAGGGGTTTAAACAGCCCCCCCTTATTAATCAAAATATTGTATCTTCTGTCCCATTTACCTTTTTAAGTCCTTCTTGAGTCCTGTACTTGAAGATCAAATTTTTTGTTGAGCTCTGGTCTTTTTATCAGGAAAGTTTGGAAGTCTCCTATTTCTTTGAATATCCACCTCCTCCCTTGAAAAATGATGCTCATTTTTGCTGGGTAATTGATCCTTGGCTGCATTCCAAGCTCCTTTGCCTTGGAATATCATGTTCCATGCCCTCTTTTAATGTAGAAGCTGCAAGGTCCTGTGTAATCCTGACTGTGGTTCCATGATATTTAAATTCTTTCTTTCTGGCTGCTTCAGCACCTTCTCTTTCATCTGGTAATTTTGGAATTTTGCTATTATATTTCTTGGCGTTATCAATTTGGGATCTCTTTCAGGTGGTGATCGGTGTATTCTTTCTATGGTTATTTTCCCTTCTGGTTCTAGGACTTCTGGGCAGTTTTCCTTTATGATTTCCTGAAAGATACTGTCCAGGCTCTTTTTTTCATCATGATTTTCAGGTAGTCCAATAATTTTTAAATTGTCTCTCCTGAGTCGATTTTCCAGGTCGGTTGTTTTACTGATGAGGTATTTTACATTTTCATTATTTTTTCATTTTTTTGTTTCTGTTTGACTGATTCTTGCTCTCTCATAGAGACATTAGTTTCCATTTGTCCAATTCTAGTTTTTAACAGATTGTTTTCTTCTGTTAGTTTTTGTACTTCCTTCTTCAACTGGCCAATTGTGTTTTTTAGGGACTTTTCTTCAGTGTATTTTTTTTCCAACTGGCCAATTGTATTTTTGAAGGACTCTTTACCTCTCTCATTTGACTATTAAAATCCTTCTTGAGCTCTTCTAAGAAGGCTTTTTGGGCTTCAGACCAGTTCATATTCCCTTTTGTTGTTGCAGATGTGGGTTTGTTGACAATGTTGTCCTCTTCAGAATTTCTGTCTTGATCTTCACTCTTCTCGTAATATGTATGTTTCTTTTTACTCATGGTGTTTCTTTATTCCCTGGCCTTTAAAGAGATTGAGCTCTCCTGCTGGGAACAGATACTGACCCAAGCTTCTTGTGTTGGGAGCCTAGGTCTTGGTCACTGGCTTTGCGTTCTGGGGCCTCTTATGCTGGATTGGAAGCTGTAGGTTTCTGGCAGCTTACCTTGTGTTGGGCTGGAATCAGCAAGGCTGGAACTTTCAGGCAATTCTAGGTTGCCTGCTTTTCCTTTCCTTAGCTTTCTTCCGCTCCTTTTAGGTGGCTGCTGCAGGATGTTTATCTGCCTGGGGCCCCCTGCAGTGTTGTCTCCCTCAGTTCTGCTAATGCACCGGGAGATTCCTTTGCAGTGGAGTGCGGAGGCTCTGGGCGGTTTTCTGAGCTGGTTTCCACCGGTTCCCCCGCCCTCACTGAGGCACTCGGAGGTCCAGGTGTTTGTGTTTGCCTGCTCTACCACCTGGGCTTCAGGATCTCTTCACAATTGGGAGCTTCAGGGCTCCTACAGCTCACCTGGTGTAGGGTTGGAATCAGCAAGGTCTGGGCTTTAGGAAGCCTTTAGGTTGTTTTCTTCACCTCCTTTCAGATGAATGCCACAGGGTACTTATCTGCCTGGGGCCTCTTGTTTTTGCTGAGGCACTGAGAGATCCGTTTGCTGGGCTGCTGCACTGCTGCTCCTCGTCTTTCTCCTAGTTCAGGTGTTCCAGGGTTTTTTTTTTTTCCTGGGCTGATATTTTGTGGGTTTGCAGAGGTTGATAGGGGAGAGTGAGAGCGACTACCTTTTCACTCCGCCATCTTGGCTCCCGGAAGCCTCCCTTTCTCCCAACTTCTTTTTTTCATCATAACTTTCAGGCAGTCCAACAATTCTTATATTTTCTCTCCTTGATCTGTTCTCCAAATCAGTTGTTTTTCTAATGAGATGTTTCAGATTCTCTTCTATTTTTCTTATTTCTTATTTATCATTCCACTTACCTAGTTTTAGTTTTCAAGGAGTTATTTTCTTCTTTAATATTTTGGACCTCTTTTTATAATTTTCTTGGATTGTTTTTTTTTCCTAATTTTTCCTTGATCTCTCTTATTTGATTTTTGAATTCCTCTTTATGTACTTCCAAGAGCTCTTTTTGGGCTTTTGGCCATGTGTTATTTTTGTTTTATTTTTAGCGTCTTGTTATTATAATCAAGTTTTAATTGGGCTGTCTTAAACATGTACTAGGGACACTTAGGTAGGTATAGTGGATAGAGTGCTGTGCCTGGAGTCAGGACATGTGAGTTCAAAACCAGCCTCAGACTTAGCCCTGTGACCCTGGGCAAGTCATTTAAACTTTGTCTGCCTCAGTTTCCTCAAATGTAAAATAGGGACACTGATAAGGAAATGGGAAACCACTCCAGTATCTTTGGCAAGAAAACCCCATAAAAATAGGGTCATGAAGAGTCTTTAAGACTGAACAAAAACAAATGCTAATTGGTAAGATAATTTAAAAGGACAGAGAAGATAAGATTCTATTCTTAGGCATAAGTTTTCTTGTCTTGATAAGCTGAATACCACACTTAGGCCACACTACCAGAAAGGATTTTGTAACCCCTTACTAATTCCTTATCTCAGATAACTATGCAGCCTATACGAAGCAAAAAAAAAAAATCTCTAATCTCAAAGTATGTGCTATTTTGGGGACCATTTGGCTCATTTCAGATTTCCAGACTCTAAATGGAAGACCCATTACCCTTCTTCCAGATCCTTATTTTTTATTTCTGTAACTGATTAATATAGTATCAGTATTCAGCTCAGAACTATTTCCTAATAATGCTCCTTTTAGATAGCTAGACTTTATTCACTTTTAAAATCATTAACATTAGCATGGAGTTTTATAAACCCCTCCCTATAAGACTATATCTAGTTCGTTTGCTATTAATTTTGCAGGAAAGAAAGAGTTGGGAGATGGAAGGTTAAGGACAAGAGGTGGCAGGTGGAAAAAAGGAGATCCAGACCTGTAATTCAGGATAAGTCAGCAAAGGCCACACAGTCCTGGTTAGGGAACGCTGTACATATGAAGTAAGTTTGAGATTAAGACAGCTTCCTAACTTATATAAGGACATCTAAGGTGGTACAGGGGATAGAGCACTGGGCATAGTCAGGAAGACTTGAGTTAAAATTTGCACTCACATTTAAATCAGGCACGGCATTTAGCCTTTCAGCCTCAGTTTTCTCATCTGTAAAATGGGGTTAAGAACAGCATCTTCAGAGTTGTTGGGAAGATATTTGAAATTTGGGAATCACTTTGTAAACCTTAAAGTGCTATATAAATTATAACCACTATTTATTTTCTTCCATACAGTTATTTTTTGTTTGTTTGTTTTTAGGCAATTGGGGTTAAGTGACTTGCCCAGGGTCACACAGCTAGTGAATGTCAAGTGTTTGGTCTGAGGCCAGATTTGAACTCAGGTCCTCCTGACTTCAGGGCTGGTGCTCTATCCACTGCACCACCTAGCTGCCCCTCTTCCATACAGTTATGAGTTTGATTCCACAACTAGAATCTATTAATATTGCTTTTCCTAGTCCTCAAGAAGATAAAGGGTTTCACTCAGCTTCAAAAACCAACTTCTTAGAGCCGCCTTATTACATTACTTATTAATATTTCAACATTTCAGTCTGGTTGTAATTTTCGGAAAGGATTGATACCTCTTAGAGAAATGTTTAGGTTAATTAGTGTGAAAGCATATTTCTGATCAGTGTTTCTTATGGAGCTATTCTCTGAAGCATTTGGTTGGCTCAAAGGTAATGCTTTGTGTTTTGTGTATGAAAGCAGAAAGTTCAAAATATGGGGAGAAAAATCTGTGGATGGATATATAAAAGGGTGTTAACATATGGACAGATGTGAAAGAAAAAAAAAAGGCCAGGGATTGTGAATCAAGAGTTCACTGCTGTATATAGTCCACTTACCTTCTCCTAATTGGCTGTCCAGGCTCATGGTCACTACTGCCAGATGGGTTTCGTCTCCGTGAATAAGGGAACTTTGGTGATTTATTACGGTCATTGGAACAATTGTACAGTCCTCTGGAGTTAAGAATATAACAAAAAACAATCAAAACCTGAAAATTCAACAATTATACCTAGCCCAACCCAAAGAAATCCCTTACAAGACTCCACTTTGTCTAAAAACAATATAATTTTCTAGCCTGACAAAGATAGCAAAAAGAAATGACTCAACATGAAACATGATTATTTGCAGGGATACATGACATTAACAAATGGATATACTAGAAATACTTAGAGCCTGACAAGAGGCCATAATGAAATAATTTTTGTTGTAAGCAATTCTAAGCTAAACATGGTTTTTAAAAATAAGTAATGATGATAATAACCATTATCATAATTGTATAGGGTTCTAAAGTTTAAAAAGGAGCCCTTCCTCTCACAATAATCCTGTCAAGTAGATAAAAAATGTATTCTGATTTACACAATAAGAATCTGAGGCTAATTAACTGACTTAACCAGCTAATAAGTGTTGTGGCTGGGATATGAACCCAGGCCTCCTAAATTCATATGTTCATAGTCAAACTTTCCATCAAATAGTCATTGAAAAGGAAGAAATTCTGACTGATCAGAACATCTTTGACATTAAGTGTGGTTAATTAGCATAAGCTAGTTTTTGTATAACATTTTCCAGCAGTGTTTTATATTAGAATATGTTCTGTTGAGATCTTTGCTTAGAGCCTGTGGTTCCTGAAGATTTAGGAACTTCATGATTTGCATGCTGATAGGTAGATGACAGGCAATCAGATTCCCTTATTTACATGATCTCCTTTGAGACAGGGTATCAATGATAAAAATGATGAACTTTACCCCTGTGGTCCATTTTCCTCCCATGGTGCATTTGTTTTGCTTCTTTGGGTTTCAGGGCTATTTTCGAATTTTGACTTCTTGAAGCTTTTAATTGAAAAAGAAAAATCCAAATCAACACATAAACTAGAAATTGAAAAAAGGCATTAATTAATATGCAAGTTTCTTCAGTCAACTTTATGTGACTTAAAATAATCTAATGTTAAGCTCCCAAGGAACATATATATATATATATATATATATATAAGTGTGTGTGTGTGTGTGTGTGTGTGTGTGTGTGTGTGTGTGTGTGTGTGAGTGTGTGTGTGTGTGTATGTGTATATATATGTGTGTGTGTGTGCACGCGCACACACACATATATACATATACACACACACATACATATTTCAATTCTGCTTATGCTGTTTGCACTCAGCAACAGTAAGGCCATCAATCACTGGAAGAAGCTCCTATACACTGAATGGTCTGTATTCTTAAGCTTAACTCAGTTTGCCCAGGGAAGAGGCAGAATGGAAAGAAGAGAAAGTTAAAGGAACCAAACCTGCAATTTCCTATTGAGGATAATCACTTGCTTCCTTACAATGACAGGAATATGCTTGGGTTCTAGCCCTGGGTGTAAAGCACAGTCCAAGACTTAAGACGAAGCAATCCAAACTGACATTTTCTGGCCTTATATTGAAATTTCAAATAGAATTTCTATTCCTACTTCCTGATGAAGAAACATTTCTGCCTTGAAAACATCTCTTGGACAGCAAGATCAAATAAGTCAATACTTCAAAGAAATTATTTCAGACTATTCATTGGAAGGACAAATACTAAAGTTGAAGCTTCAATATTTTGATAATGAGAAGACAGGACTCATTGGAAAAGACTCTGCTGGGAAAAATTAAGGAAAGGGGCAGCTAGGTAGCTCAGCAGTTAGAGCATCAGCACTGGAGTCAGGAGGACCTGAGTTCAAATCGGGTCTCAGACCAGACACTTGGCACTTAGTAGCTGTGTGACCCTGGGTAAGTCACTTAACCCCAATTGCCTTGCCAGAACAAACAAAAAAAAATAAGAAAAATTAAAGGCAAAAGGAGAAGGGCATGGCAGAGGATGAGATAGATAGTGTTATGAAAACAACAAACAAGCTTGAAATCGGACTTCAGGAGATAGTGGAGGATAGAAGGGCCTAACAAAAAGTCAGATACAACTGAACAACTGAACAAAAACAAAATTAGATCAGTTTTTTATGTGTCATTGTTCTAAGGAAACGGATTCTCTTTTCTTTTTTTTATAGCCTGATAGAAACAAAAGGATTTTAATACAAAGCTGGATTTAAAAGTAGATTAAGAACTAAGTCATATTTCTTGGAAGTGCCACATCCACTTTGCCTAGTCATTTAAGGCTGTTTGCTAGGTTTTTCTCCTTTCTCCTTCCCAATGTGGCTTTTGAAGTCATTTGTCAGAACTCAGTTCATCATTGTTTTGGTGCTTACTGCTTTGTGTTATGGTTTGATATCTGGTTATTTCTGGGCTCTTTGTAGTTCAGTCATTCAGTCGTGTCCCATTATTCCATGCTAGCTAAGAGGTGGAAAGATTAAACTAAACATTTATATCTTAGGTATCAGTGAACTTGAATGGATGAGAATGGATGATTTTAATTCAGGTGATCATAACATATAGGACTGGGCAGAAATGCCTTAGAAATGGAGTAACTGTCATAGACAGCAAAAGGATGTGAAGCAGTACTAGGGTACAATCTCAAGTAATACAAGTCTGTGTTCCAACCAGAAATGCCAAAGAGGCCAAAGTTGATCATTTCATAATGACCTATATTGTAGGTCCTACAACATCTTCTAGAAATAACACCAAAAAAAAAAGTCACTTTCCTCATAGGGATTGGAAATTAAAAGATAATTGGAATAACAGAAAAGTTTGGTCTTGGAGTACAAAATGAAGCAGGGCAGAGACTAATAGAGTTTTGTCAAGATAACTCTTTGCTGGTCATGGCAAACATTCTTCTTCTTTTTTCTTTTTGGCAAGGCAATGGGGTGAAGTGACTTGCCCAGGGTCACACAGCTAGTAAGTGTCGAGTGTCTAAGGCCAAATTTGAACTCAGGTCTTCCTGAATCCAGGGCTGGTGTTCTATTCACTACATCACCTAGCTGCCCCTCAAACACTCTTTTTCAACAGCCCAAAAGGTGACTTATCACCAGATAATCAATATTGAAATCAGATTGATTATATACTTTGCAACCAAAAGTGGAGAAGATCTATGCAGTCAGTTAATAGAAGAGGTGGAGCTGACTGTGGTTCAGATCATAAGCTTTTTTTTTCTTTTTTCTTTTTTTCTTTTTTTTTAAAATATAAATTTATTTATTTTTAGTTTTCAATATTCACTTCCACTAGTTTTTGAGTTCCAAATTTCTCACCCCTCCCCCACCCCAAGATGGCATGCATTCTGAATACCCCTTCCCCTGGTCTGCCTTCTCTCTTCTATCTCTCTCCCCTCCCTTCTCTTATCCCCTTCCCCTTCTATTTTCCTGTAGAGCAGGATAGACTTCTGTACCCCATTTCCTATATTTCTTATTTCCCAGTTGCATGTGAAAACATTTTTTTTTAAAACATGTGTTTTTAAAACTTTGAGTTCCAAATTTTCTCCCTTCCTCCCTCCCCACCCACCCTCATTGAAAAGGCAAGCAACTCAATATAGGTTGTACATGTGCAGTTATGCAAAACACTTCCTTAGTAGACATGTTGTGAAAAACTAACTCTATTTCCCTTAATCCTATCCTGCCCTCCCATTTATTCTATTCTTTCTTTTGACCCTGTCCCTCCTCAGAAGCATTTGCTTCTGATTACCCTCTTTCCCAATCTGCTCTCCTCTCTATCACCCCCCTGCTCTCTTGTCCCCTTCTCCCCCTATTTTCCTGTAGGGTAAGACAGATTTCCATACCCAATTGAATGTGTACATCATAAGCTTTTTATTGGAAAATTTAGATTGCAGATTCCAAGTAGGGAAAACCATCAATATAGATATGATCTAACTAACTGATGTAATAAATGCCTATAAAATTGTAGACACAGAGCTTGGAGCATTGGAATACATTAACCATATATAGAATACAATTAAGTTTTTTATACAGATTTGGCATCACAACCATGTTCCCAAAACAAAAAGCTTTTCAGAGAGAAAAGGAAAATCTCATATATTTGCTAACACATTGCCAGAGGAAAAAATGAATCATAAATAGATAAGAAAGGAAGCTAGAAGAGAGGGATGTAAAAAGATTTAAAAAAGAGGAAGAAAGTGAAAGTGAAAAAATAATTTTGAGCAGTGAACTAACTGGCAGATGACAAAAACCATTTCTGATTCATAGCAGACACTCACTTTTACATGGCATCATGTCAGATATTAGGATGAAGTTGAAATAGATTGAATTCATTAAGTACCATTGAAGAGGCTTGGGGTCTGAATTTCTTGAGAGATTAATTTTTTAAAATAAATTTTTTATTGACTTCTGTTTATTATAGCACCACAATATGCCCATGTATCTGTTTGTTTTTGGAGAGGAAAAAAAATCAATACATTGGGAAAGCATAAAAACATGTGCAGTGTATAGCACCCGTGGACTTCCCACCTCCACCAAAGGGGACAGGCAGGGGGGTGTCTTTTCAGATCTCTTCATCCAAGTCTCCCTTGATTTTTAGAATTTTGTTACATTTACTTTTGATATTTTGGTGTGTTATTCTTTCTATTTACATTGTTGTATTAATCGTGTTAGTGTTTTCTTGATTCTGCTTACTTCACTGTGCATCAGTTCATATAGGTCTTTCCAAGTTTGTCTGTATTCATCACACACATCATATAGACAGTTTGTTTAGCCATTCCCCAAACGATAATCATCTACTTTGTTTCTAATTCTTCATTATCACAAAAAGTGCTACTATAAATATTCTGGAGTAGAGAGAGACATTTTTTCTTACCAATGGCAATAATAGTCTCTGGTGCAAAGGATATGGGCATTTATTCCCTTTATTTGCGTAACTGCAAATTGCTTTCCAAAATGGTTGTACTATTTCGCAGGTTTACTAACAATGTATTAGTGTGCCTATCTTCCCCAAACTCCTCCAACAGTGACTTACCACTTTTTAACCACTTTTGCCAATTTGCAGAGTTTAAATGTGCATTCTCTTAATACTGACTTGGAGGTTATTTTCAAGTGGTTTTGAATGCTTTGCAATTTCCCTGAACCTCCCTACTTCTATCAAAGGCATCACCATCATTCCTGTGTCCATTTTGTAATCTCACCTTACATATCCAATCACTTGGAAAATAATGCCTTTTTTACCTTCGCCACATCTCCTGCATCTTTCTGACCCTCCACTTACTAGAAGCTCCCACTTCTAATTGGTTTTCCTGTCTCAAGTCTTTGAGTCCATGGTATACCCTGCTACCAAAGCAATTTTTCCTAAGTACAGATTTGACCTTGAGGCTTCTCTCCTCAACCAGCTCCAGTGACTTACCATTCCTCTTGGGATAAAATGATAAAAATCTATCCTTCTACCCCCATTGCATATTACTTTCCTCCCACACTCTGGGATCAAGACAAACCTGCATTTTCTTACTAGGCTTTATCTCAGTGGCCATTACCATGCCTGGCATTTGCTGTTTACTACTTCCACCTACTAGAATACCTCTCTTCCTTTAGGGTGCAGCTCAGGCACCATTTTCTTAAGTCTTTCCTATTCCTGCAAATGCTATTACCTTCTATTTTAAACTACCTTGTGTTTAACTAATGTAACTCAAATATTGATTTTTAGTCTTAGTATTCTGCCATAAGCAGCAGGTATCCCATTTCCTCAGCTTCTGGTCAGGGTTAAAAAGTAAGACACCATATGAACTCAGGATTGTCTCAGATTGTAGTTTATAGTTGATGACTGTGGTAGCCTATGACAACTGATAAATCTTACATAAAGAAAAGCAAGTGAGCTGTACTGAAGCTACTAATTATCACTTTTCATTGGATTACTTTCCAGGGACCAGGCAATGGAATTAGGTGAACCTGCTAAGATGTGGCTATGTCCTTGTGGGAGGAAATTCCCAGGGCCTCAGACAGACAAGGATATTAAATCTCTATTGTCTAGGTGAAATTGATTCCTAAAGAGGAAAGGAGACACAGGGTAATCAGAAGAGGAGGCTCTTGGCCTCAGAAGGAAGAACCAAGAAAAAATGGGTAGATATTGCAAAAAAACAAACAAACAAACAACTAATTTAAACTTGATAGGAAAAACTTTCTAATGAGGGATGTCTGAAAGTGTAATAATGTGTGGGTTCTCCTTAGAGGTCTTCAAAGTCTGGACTTCTTGTAAGGACTAATTTTGGATATGAGTAGGCATTTTCAACTCAAAATGCTATCATTCTTAAAGTAGCCTAAATGTACAAGAGTACTGAAAAAAGGCATTATTCTCATTGTTGTTGGCATGGGTTCTATACAACCCCTTTCCAATTCTCAATTCGATGATTCTGTGTACCCTTGCAGAATACTGGCTGACTCATGAGAATTACGAATTCTATTTTAAAAAATCAAATGAGTAGACTCTTACCTTTGCTGACATCTAAAATAGTTGTCCTTCGTCCCTATTCTAAGCCTTAATCCATTGTGTTTCTTTGGTCATGTACACTAACCTTTTAACTGGCAAGGGGCAATAATTTTGGTGGTTCCTTCATTCACTCCATTTTCCATATTTGCAGTAACCTGGTTTATGCTGTTTGATCCTAATTGCCAGAAAAGAGAGAGAGAAAAGAACATGGAAAGAGAATGAGAAAAAGAAGCTCCAATAATTCATGCATTCAACAAACATTTATTGTCTAGTATGAGATGTGTATTTAGCTAGGAGCTGTGAATAAGCACTTTGAAATTTGTTGTCTGATTTGCGACAGCATTGTTATATGTTTGTGGGCATATTTCATTATTCTATTTTGGAGAGGAGTATGATATTTGTAGGAGATTATTGATATCAGACAAATTACTAGTGTTTTGGACTTGAAGTCAAGTTGACTGATTCACTGATATGAATCATTTACTGGTTCAAACTCTAGTGCTTTGCCTACTACATGAAAAGAAGAGACTAACAGAAAGAAGATAACAAGAGTTCCATTTAAGAAAAGTCTATTTTATGGATGGTTTAACACATCATAATGAATCATAATTAAGATCTTTCCCTTTAGCAATATCATGCTGACTTTGATCTACCTCGTAAGATGGTTCCATCAAAAACAAAATCTCTCCTTTGAAAAGTCAAGATGGTGCCCCCCCCACACCACAATTACACCAAAGTAGAATTTAACAACATTAAAGCTAGGCTGTAATTTATTGGGTACAGTATAAATAACAGTTAAGAAAACATGAAGACATCTGAATAAAAGCAATTCTCCAAGACAATAAGCTGTAGAATAGTTAGCAAGCTTTAACAGTAGAGGGAGTTTACTCACTGCAAGGAGTTTCTCTGGGAGTTCATTTATGACTTGCTCAATTAATTCTTCTGATGCTGCGTTATTTACATTTTGTAGATATTCATCCAATTCATTTCATCAGTTTTGTTGGCGTACAATTGGGTAAAATAGTTCTAATAATTTTGTTGATTTCTGCTTCTTTTGTTATGAATATAAGTTGGCTTCACTCATTAGCAATTTTAGCTTTTCTCATAACTTTTCAGTTTTCTTAATTCAGTATGGTGGTTTTTGCTTTCAATTTTTATTTTTAGAATTAGTATTTAATTGTGCTTTTACGATTTGTTGCTTTTACAGATTTGCTTTTTGTTCAATTCCTTATTCATTCTTTTTCTTTTGTTGATTGATGTGTTCAGAGATGTATATTTTCTCCTAATCACTGCTTTGGCTCTGTTCCAAAAGTTTTGGTATGTTTCTTTATGTTATGTTTCTTACATTTTTCAAGGAAAATCCTCCTGCCTTTTCTTCCTCCCATATTCCCTGTCTACCCTCTTGACAAAGCACGTAAAAGTAACCCCTGTCAAGCAAAACAAATTTTACCCACTAGCTATGAAAAAAAAAATTAATTTACATTTTGAATCCTGTCACTTGGCTGTTGATCTGTTCTTTCTTTTTTGATGAACGTGTTCAGAAATAAAAAATTTCCTTCCTAAGGCCTGCTTTGGCTGCATCCAAATTTTTTAACATGTTTTCTCACTGTTTTCATTAACTTTAAGGAAATTTTCTATTGAGAATGATTTAAATGCTTGGAATGCCATCAAAGTTGCATATTTGTCCCCTGTAGGATTAAAGTACTAAGTGTTAATCCTTTCTGGTCCACATTTTGTTCAGAATTCTTGTGTGATCCTGACTGCAGCTCTGTAGCATTTGAATTACTTCTTTCTTCTTGCCTGTAGTTTTTTCTTTGTCTGAGTATTTCTGTCACCATAGTAGCTTTTTATGCTGTGATTCGTTTATTGTTCTGTTGTGATTAACTGCAGATGAGACAATGGCCTGTTAGAATAATCTGAGCCCATGGTGATGAAGGTCTGCTATTTTTAATGCATAAATGCTTGTGATAAATGCTTGTAAATGCTTGTAATTGATTTAATTTTCTAGAGTCACAGTATAACTTTTTTTTGTATGATGAATGTCATTTCAGGGAAGACACTGATTTCGTTATTAATAAAGTGAATTGTATATCATTTGGATTTTAGCTTCATTGCTAATAAAGAAATGCTTTACAGCAACAACCTCTCTCTTCCTTAAAGGCTCACAGACTTAATTACAACTAAATTTTCAGAAAAAACTATTCAGCATCCCAGATTGAGATGAATTGCAAGACATCTAAAATATTACTTAATTGCTTTTTCATAATTCTGTATTCTCCTTTGTCCATTTCTAGAATAAGACACTGGGATCAGGGAGATGAGGAGTTTAGGCTCTTTTGAGACCTTTTTTATCAGAGAGGAAGTCAGATTTCTTTCTGTTCCTGCATTGATAAGATTATTAGTGTATACTTTTAGTTCTTTACCACAAAAAGCTTTTTAAGACACTCTGATTGTTAATTCTACCCCACAGTTCAAATGCTACCTCCACTTACCCTACCCTGAAGATTCAAGCAATTTTACATTCATTTGAATGAGAAAGGTTTTGGTTTGTACATAAAGATACTTTATCACTTACAACCTTATTACAATCATCTGAGAAAAATCTTTCTAGCATACAGGATGTGAATTACTTAAGCAAAGGGAATTTGTTTTAGAATCAAAGATATAGAGCTGGAAGTGACCTTAGAGGTTATTTTTTGTCTAATCTTTACATATAAGAGCCAGCTAGGTGACACAGGAAGACCTTACTTTGGATTCATCCTCGGATGCTTCATAGCTACCTGTGACCTTGGGTGAAAAGTCACCCTGAGTGATTCCATGTTTAAACCTTGCTTTATCTTTGGATCAAATGCATAGTCAGCCTACAGGAGATGGCAGTCTGAAAATACCTTTCTGCATATGTAGTTAGATATGGGAACACTCATATGTACCAGTCTTGTCCTTAAATGGAAATTGTTTATTACTTTCTAAAGCAATTCTATCCTCCTACAACTGCCTGCTCTCTTGGTGCATTAATAAACTACTTTTATCTCTCTTAGTTTGCGTCACTGACCATGGCAAGGCCTGAAAAAGCATTTCCTCTTAACAATTTGACGACTCCCACACTACCCTTTGCTCCACATCTACTCTGCAGTGGATACCAGGACCGGCATTCCAACCTTTGTCCAACTGTGAGTTGGTGTGGACTCTCAGGACTCAGTCAGCCATGAAGTGGTGAGTTGTCTCCCCAAACTTGGGATATAGGGGATAAAAGGGAACAGATTGTGAGTCCAAAATTGATTTTATCATTTGTGCAGGAAGACACAGGAATAGGGCCACAAAAGGGCAAAGGCAGTGGTCTCGACCCAACATTAAGTCACTAAGGAACAGAATGGTCAAGGCATAATGGTATCATTATTGGATCTGGACAGAGTAAGCCTCCTGATGCCTACCCACTAGGTAAGTTATTATAGGACAAGTGAAAATTACCAGTTAAACTAGCAATTGAAGTAAAGCTCAGCCAGACTCCTTATATAGATGACTGTGGAAAACAAATATGTCCAGATGAATATGGGAGAATACAGAACCTTTGATTGTCAGCTGTGCATGCTAAAATCCAGACTTGGAAGGTCTAGAACCTAGGCTAATGGATTATTAGCATTGGCCAGAACTTTCAAATGGAGACTAGCTCTCTTTACCAAGTACATTGGCAGGTCAACCACACAATCCAGATGTCTCAGAAAAACAAACAAACAAACAAACAAACAAACAAACATACCATGGCACCCTTACAAACCGTTTTGTAGGGAATAATCAGAGCAAAGTATATGTCTTCTTTTCACCAGAAGACATTGTATTATGGCAATAATCCACTCTACCCTTTCAGAGGGACCCTATCACTGTCATCAAGGAAATTAAGACATAAGAAGACACAATACCAGCTGGAAGAGCATAAATTATTGGATGCCTTTTCTCAGAAATGATGAGAAAGCAAAAGTCCTGTCCTGTGTGGTGAAGTTCGCACAACATGGCCTCATTGGAATTAGAATAATGAGAGTAACTGGGGAACATTCAGGGCAACAAATGACCGTCTATGATGCTCTAGATCAGGCAGCATAACAACCAATAAATTGGGGAAAATTTCATGCCACTTAACTAAAAATTTAGATGAACATAGTGACTTTTTTCTATATTTATTTGTTTGCTGCCACTCAGAGATTTGTTTAGCTGAATCCAGAAAATGAGCAAAGGGAAATTGCTTCAGCTTATGTCAATCAGCAGATGTTTACAATTTCATAAATTCTGTCCTGGCTGGAGTGGGAAAACTATTAATGAAATCAGGTGATGCAGGAAGAAAGTAAAGAGGAATAAGGATCAGAAGGGGAAATTTAGAAAGGGTACCCCAATATGTTTTTATTGCAAAAGAATAAATATTTGCAATGATGGTTGCTGTTAAGTAACCTCCTAAAGGCTTTTTAATGTTAAGGTCTAAAAGGGTAATGGTCTTCTCAGGAAAAAGTGACCTGAGAGCTTTAACCATTAGCTACTATACTTTCATTTTCATATCTTTTTATTATTGTTGTGTAAATTTACAGCTATTCACTGTGATCCAGCAGAAGTAATCACTTTGGGACAGAAACCTAAGAAGTTTCTGGTACTTCTGGTGACTGATTTGCTTCCATGTATTGATATTTATGGTTCATGAAGTCAGCCAAGCCAAGCCTGTTCCAGATTAAGGATAGACTGCCCCCTTGTGTGCAACAATATATCAGTTTAGAAGCTTTCAGAAACTCAGAGATGGCTTACATCTATCTGGGGGTGATAGGGAAAGTTGTGTACTGTCAATGAGGAAGACCTAACTGTATACTGTTTAATCTGGCATCTGAGGGCTATCAATTTTGTCATCCTGAGAGCCTTCCTGGTTCTGAATCCTATTTCTATTAATTTCAACCTTCCCCACAATATAAGCATATTTATTCTCTCTGACTTGTGTCCTGCTTTTTAAGTATTCTGGTAAATCCTGAATCCCAGTACTTTTTTTTGTTTCTTTTTTGTTTTTAACTTGAAGCCAGCTGCTCTGGGATTATTGTGAATCTCCTATTTGCAGAGATGCTTGTCAAGGACCTACAAGATGTGCACCCACCACAACTTTGATTTAACATGCTGCTGACTAATTGCTTGTCTTTCCTACACAAGGAGCCTGTGAGGAAACTTCTCTTTGTGGAAAGGGCCACCAGATCTCCCCCTCTGAAGTTATAGCTCACCTTATATGCCAGCTTATATGGTTAGAGGCCTCTGAGGAAGCAGAGACAGTGAAATGATGATGGCCACCCCACCAACTTTGGCAGTGGCAAATTATGACAGGTCTTTTTACTGTTTTGTTCATGTATAGAGGGGGGCCACATCAGAAGTCTTCATCCAGAGGTTGGAGACCCACCATAGAGCTCTTTGTTAGCACTTGTGCTAGCAGAGAAGGGTCTGTGGGTTTACCTTTGGGGCGGCTGTTGAGCTTGTAAAAAGGACGCTTTGTTGCTGCCTTTTTTTACTCCCAACATAAGACTCAAGTCTACTCCCCGCTGGCAGGGTGGCTGCTTATCAGGCAAAACTTTTGTATGATCCTAATCTCTCTACTCATGTCATAAATCCAGTCACTCTCCTTCCAGAACTGAAAAAGGATGAGGTACCACATGGCTGCTGGCCCACTGCCTTACTTCCACACAACATTCCCTTGGAGGAGCCCAATATTATGTATGAAAGTGGGCTGTGAGTTACTGGGGGAGTAGTCTTGTCAATGGATTTGATGACAGGGAGTTGGTGCCACTGATCAGGACTTGCTAACTGGTCAAGGGCCTCTGAATGAACATTTACACTATTGGAGTCTGTAAAGCACCTGGCAAAATTAAACAGATACTTCATGCCCTACTTATTAACTAACTCTTTCAAGCCCTTTTGCTCCCGGAGGCCATTTCTGTGATGCTTTGTATGAGAATGGTCTTTTTTTTGCAAAATGGCAACTGGGTTGTGGCCAAATTTGCCCCGGGGTCATTGAGAGCTGCCAGCACTCTTCTTGACTTTTCTTTCTTAGTCACTGGTGCTGAAAAGGATTAGTGCTCCTCCAGTATCTGCAACTCTGTGCCTCGGGTGGCACTGAACTTTCAAGCTCACAGGTTATGGCACTCCTCCCACCCCTTACCCCTTCCTGGTTTGCTGTTTATGCAGGCTCCCACCATGTGGTCTCAAGCTGTTTTGTGAAAGAAAATCATCAGAAAAGGGGAGATTGCAGGAGTTCCTAACATTTTAAACCTGCAGATTGACTTTAATAGAGTTGCCAAAGTCCATGGTCTATAGATTTTGGCAGCACAGAGACTGATGGAGCCCTTGGGTTGAGCCACTGCCAGTGACAACAAGTCACGGCAAATATAGTAGCAAGGTACCTGATCAAGGACATAATACTAATATTTAGCCTCCCATTACTACTGACTACAGCCAAGGGCCATCCTTTACCACAGAAATAACCAAGCAAGTCTACATCCAGTTTACAATAACCCCTTAGCCTGCATATTCCTTACCACTCACAGTCATCAGAGGGAGTTGGACAGCTAAATAGGGAAGTTAAGACCCTTTGGGGACAACTATGCCAGGAAACATAGTTAAAATTGCCTCAAGTATTCATTTGTCTTTGTGGTGTTCTCCCTTAGAAATGATAGGAGGGACAGCTAGGTGGTGCAGTGGATAGAGCTCCAGCCCTGGAGTCAGGAGGACCTGAGTTCAAATCTGGCCTCAGAAACATAACACTTACTTAGCTGTGTGACTCTGGACAAGTCACTTAACCCCAACTGCCTCACCCGAAAAAAAAAGAAAAGAAAAAAAAAAAGAAAGGATAGGAAACAGGATTGTGGCGCGGCACCTTGCCTTAACCTAGGAGATGAAAGCCTAATTTCTCTGTCTAGTTCTTTCACAAGTCTGGAAGGAATTTGTCTATTTGAGTTAGGAGACTACTTAGGATCCACAACTTCAGGAACGCATCTAGTCTCCATCCCTCCCAGAATGGACTTATCCAGGTCCTGTGGACCAGTCATGCTGCCATCAATGTTCCTGTCCAGAGAACTGACATGCATCAACTCATTTGGAGGCTTCAGCCCAGCTGAGGAAGTGTAATTCCTAATTAGCCCCTGAGAAATTGAGAAAAGCACTTGGATACCAATCAGTGGTCCTTGGCTGCTCCCGGTGTCCAAGAGCAGAGCTCAACTTTAAAAATAAAAAATAGGAGGGCAGCTAGGTGGCGCAGTGGATAGAGCACAGCCCTGAAGTTGGGAGGACTCGAATTCAAATCTGGCCTCAGACCAAATACTTGACACTTGCTAGCTGTGTGACCCTGGGCAAGTCACTTAACCCCAATTGCCTATTAAAAAAAATTAAAAAATAATAAAAAATAGACTGGGAAATGAGCAACAGATGATTAAAACACAAACTAAGAAGAGGACAACTTCCAAACACCTATATGTAAAGCCTCAGAGAAATATAAATTAGTCTCAGGGCCAAACAGAACTCTGGAAAAGCTCAAAAAGGATTTTAAAATCAAACAAGAGAGGTAGAAGAAAAATTGGGAAAAGAAATGAGAACTGTGCAAGGAAAGAATGAAAAAACAGTCAGCAGCTTGGCAAAGGAAGCACAAAAATGGGGAGGAAAAAAGTGTACAAAAATTCACTGAAGAAAACTCCTTCAGGAGAATTGGCCAAATGGGAAAGGTACAAAAGCTCACTGAAGAAAATAATTAAAAATTAGAATTATGCAAGTGGAAGCTAATCAAAGTTAAAAGAATGAGATAAAAAAAAGAAGACAATGTGAAATATCTCATTGGAAAAACAATTGACAATTTAGATCCAGGAAAGATAATTTAAGAATTATTGGACTACTTGAAAGCCATAATCAGAAAAAGAGCCTGGACAGCATCTTTCAAGAAATTATCAAGGAAAATTGCCCTGATATCCTAAAACCAAGAGGGTAAAATAGAATTTGAAAGAATCCACCTATCACCTCCTGAAAGAGATCCTAAAATGAAAACTCCCAGGAACATTACAGCCAAATTCCAGAACTCTCAGGTCAAGGAGAAAATACTGCAAGCAGCCAGAAAGAAACAATTCAAATATCATGAAGCTACAGTCAGGATTTAGCAGCTTTTACAGTAAAGGATTGAGGGCCTATAATATGATATTCCAGAAGGCCAAGAGCTA